CTATTTTAATTAGTGTCTAGTTTTTGGTCAGGTATTCTATGGTTATACTTCATCCCTCTACATATAACTATGGTTGCTATATTTATTTAAAGACCACCCCAGGAATTTATTACTGGTGACACATAGTGAGCATAGAAGCAATGTTAACTTAGTAATCTTAACAAATTTGTGACTGCCTGACGATTTTCCAAAAAAGGATCCTAGTTGCAGCAAATTCCGCCTTATACTAAATAACAAAATATATACCCGGGCAGTTGATATGTATTACAAGGTCACTACAAGAATTTCAGCTGCAAGGCTAATATAACTTTTGAAGGAACAATCGAATTACCTTTACAAAATATATACCCGGGCAGTTGATATGTATTACAAGGTCACTACAAGAATTTCAGCTGCAAGGCTAATATAACTTTTGAAGGAACAATCGAATTACCTTTGCGCAGAAATCTTGTCATTTCCAATGTTCATCTGACAGTAAAGTTCATATCCATAGCTCATATTGCACTCTTGACCAAGGAAAAGCTTGAATATAGATATATAAATAAAAAGACATGATTAATATAAAATTCCATTTTCAACTATCTTAATTATTGTCTAGTTTTTGGTCAGGTATTCTATGGTTATACTTCATCCTCTACATATAACTATGGTTGCTATATTTATTTAAAGACCACCCCAGGAATTTATTACTGGTGACACATAGTGAGCATAGAAGCAATGTTAACTTAGTAATCTTAACAAAATTTGTGACTGCCTGACGATTTTCCAAAAAAGGATCCTAGTTGCAGCAAATTCCCCCTTATACTAAATAACAAAATATATACCCGGGCAGTTGATATGTATTACAAGGTCACTACAAGAATTTCAGCTGCAAGGCTAATATAACTTTTGAAGGAACAATCGAATTACCTTTGCGCAGAAATCTTGTCATTTCCAATGTTCATCTGACAGTAAAGTTCATATCCATAGCTCATGTTGCACTCTTGACCAAGGAAAATCTTGAATATAAGAAGACATTATTAATATAAAATTGCATTTTCAACTATCTTAATTATTGTCTAGTTTTAGCAAAAGGCACACAAACATCAAAGTAAAATACTTAACTTTGACCAGACAGCACAACAATCTTGCTCAGAAAGGTCCGCGAACGGTCCACGTGTATGGGATCGCCATTTTGAATTCGGCGGCCGGGCGAGTCTTGAACTGATTTCTATTTTCTATTTCAACTGTTCTCTTGACGTTCGTCTTGATAACTGGCTGTTGAGATAAACGTTAATAACAAAATGTTCAGTTCTGCTTCAGTCTATGGGTGCGGAAGTTGCTTATGACATAAATTTTCAGTAAAAAATTATCATTGCAGGCAGAATTAAACTCGAAACTTTAGATAACCTTGTACGCAGAATATTTCATATTGTATATGGTTTTTTGTTATTTCTGGCCAACAATTAGCAGAAGGCACACAAACATCAAAATAAAATACTTAACTTTGACCAGACAGCACAACAATCTTGCTGGTCCACGTGGATGGTTTTCTTTGGCATCGCCATTTTGAATTTGGCCGGGCGAGTCACCTTCATCTTGACAACTAGCTGTTCAGATAAACCTATATACAACGAAAAAAAAAGGTTCGGCTCAGCTACACTGTACTCCTTAAGGAAGGCCTACGGCCTTCCCGTAGATTAGTGTAAAGGCCTACAAGTAGGAACTAGCAGCGTGCGGGGGACCAAAACGCTCTAGGCAAACGGTCCCCCTACTGGGGTCGGACAAAGCAACCGCAGATTACGCATATAATCGCCGGAACCCACCTTTTAGTCAACGGCGAACTCCTTCTTCCTCGAACAATCTTCTATCTTGCTGAGCTTCGATCTTGCTGTCCACCTTCGATCGCCACCTAATTAAAGAAATTTTTTTTTAACGTTGAGATTATTTTTATAGGCGATAATTACCATGTTATGATAGCAGATCACGTGGTATGATAATGTACGACAACATGCCGATCAAATCCGAACATCATCGTGAGCGATGTTACTATAAACGAATCGCTAAAAGCCTGGAAAAAAGTTATCTTTTGAATTGTCGCTATGTGCCGAATTCTTTGTATTTCTGATGTCAAACAATCCTGTACTTTTTCGCATCATAAATATAAGCTCCTTTGTTTTGGAGACATACAACAGTTTTTTTTATATTTTAGCCAAAACATATAGCAGCAATTACAGATTCACTAAGTTTATTCTCATCTTGATTCACAAATTTTTAAAGGACTTGAATCGATTCCATGCGGTCTACAATAGCTGGGCGAACGTCTTACACCTAAAGTCAGTCAAAGATTGTTGTATCTCAATTCTTTAGCTTCAGTGATAAACCACATGAAGAAAAACATCACACTTAATCACAGAAAACAACACAGATCAGTATACCATGAAAAACATAAAAGGCCTTTAAGATCTCTTATAATAATTACCTTGGCAAACATTTTGCAAGAGAACTCTCACAAAGTCCAGTAAACTGATAACACTAAATGACATGCCTCCGAATAGCTTTTGTTCTGCCCCGGGAAGGTCTTCGTTGGCAGTTCCTTGGCTAGCAATAATAGAACAAAATGATTAGGACTCCATATTCTGGATGGCGTTGGCCTTGCAGCACTTGTCCACAGGATGTAAATTGACAGTCATCTCAGGCAGTCATCTAAAGTAGTCATCTCGGGCAGTCATCTCGGGCAGTCATCTAAGGCAGTCATCTCAGGCAGTCATCTCAGGCAGTAAATTAAATAGTAATTTCAATTGGAAAAATCGAACCTTTCCCATGCAGTATTCGAATCCAACCTTACAACCTGGTAGGCCGTAGCCTTGACCACTGGGCCATCGGAGTTATGTTGATAGCAGCCTTAATATATATATGTTATTTCGGTGGCCCAGTGGTCAAGGTTACGGCTTACTAGGTTGTAAGCGTTGGTTTGAATCCTGCATGGGGAAAGGTTCAATTTTTCCACCGAAATTACTACTTAATTTAAAATTCATCGAAAAGGATTAGGTCAAATAAAGAACAATAGCTTTCGACAAATGACGCGGTGGTCTAGTGGTTAGGACGTTCGTCTGTCAATCCGAGGACAAACGGTTCAACTCCTGGCAACGAAACAAAACTAGCCTGAAAAATTTCAGTGTGATTTGGAATGATTAAAACAGTTAAAAACTTCTCGGCCTTTCCGAAAGACTGTAAATTGAAAAAGATTTGAAATAAAAAAACACAAAAAAAATTCTGAATTGACCAAAATGGTAAGGGGTAAGCCTTACCATTTTGATCAATTTCGACGATTTTTTAATGTTCCAAAAACCAACCAAATATGCTCTAAAATGAAAGATATTAGTCTTAGGAGGCCATTTTTAGCATTTTAAGACAGTTCTTGAACAGTTGAAAAAGTCGTCAAAATTGACCAAAATGGTAAGGGGTAAGCCTTACCATTTTGGTCAATATCGACGATTTTTTAATGTTCCAAAAACCAACCAAATATGCTCTAAAATCAAAGATATTAGTCTTAGGAAGCCATTTTTAGCATTTTAAGACAGTTCTTGAACAGTTCAAAAAGTCGTCAAAATTGACCAAAATGGTAAGGGGTGAGCCCTAAATTTCGACGATTTTTAATCTTCCAAAAACCAACCAAATATGCTCTAAAATGAAAGATATTAGTCTTAGGAAGCCATTTTTAGCATTTTAAGACAGTTTTGGAACAATTCAAAAAGTCGTCAAAATTGACCAAAATGGCAAGGCTTACCCCTTACTGAAAAATCGTCAAAATTGACCCAAATAGGAAGGCTTACCCTTTACGATTTTGGTCAATTTTGACTGGAAAGTCTTTAGAGGTTAAAAAATATTTGTGTTGGTTACCTGTGTCCTGACACAGACTGCCCAAGATAGACACAAGGTTGCCCAAGACATGCAGATACAGTTGCCCAAGACAAATACTTCACGTCTGGAAAAAATTAATAAAATTTTCGAAAATAAAAAGTAGTTAAATTTAGCAGTAATGCTAAAGGGTACCCCTTATCATTTTGCCAAAAATTGACTGGAAATGACTTTAGATCTTTAAAAAAAATACTTGTCTTGGGCTACTGTGTCCTGACACAGTTGCCCAAGACAGACACAGTTGCCCAAGACAAATTTCTCTTGTTTAGGAAAAAATAATAAAATTTTTAAAATAGTAAGGCTTACCCCTTACCATTTTGGTCAATTTTGACGACTTTTTGAACTGTTCAAAAACTGTCTTAAAATGAAGTAAAAAAACCTTCTTTGACCACCAGCAGCGGTGGGTGAGTGGGTTAGAAGAGTGGTTAGTCCTTAGGCGCTGGTTCAAGCTCTTGCAGTGTCAAATTCTTATTTAATTTCAAAGTCTCCAAAGAAAGGATTAAATGGAATAAAAAACTTTTGTCTTTCATCACCAGCATGAGGCCAACTGGGTTAGGACAGTGGTCTGTCCATAGGCGGTGGTTGAAGCTCTTGCAGTGTCAAAAAAATAAGTTGCCAATTCTTATTTAATTCCAAAGTCTTGATAAGGTGATAAAAACTTTAAGTCTAAAAAATTCTACGTCATATTATACGTCCTATATAAGATTTGGTATTTTATCTAAACCTTTTTTACGGTTATAATGAAAAACATTCTTCCAAGGATTGGAACCATCGACTTAAACGTTGCGAAACGGTTCATACCTAAATCTCTTCTTTGGCGTCAAGATGAAAACATTTCCCTCATGGAAGATTCGAACCATCAACTTGCAAGTTGTGAGGCCATTGTCGTCACCAATCACCAGACTTTCTTATTTGACTTCATCGTTTCTTTGAAGACTTCAAAATGAAATAATTATCCTGCAGTGGGAAAAAGAAACGTTGCAGGGATTCGAACCTACACCTTACCACTCTGGCCATCGGTGTTGGTTGCCAAAGTCTACAGTTTTTCACCAAATCGTTTCTCTGAAGACTTTGAAATGAAAGAATAATACTAAGAAGAATAAATATTCCTGGTATACTAGAAATAACGCAAAATCTTTGTTTACAAATAAATTGTACAACATCGCTCCATAAATATTTACACTAAAACAAGTCCAGCTTATTAGTGAGTATCCTTTTTTGTATGATAGTGTTAAAAAGTACTATATAAATTTGTTTCAGTATTTATGTCCGGAACGATAATACACATTTTCTTCCAGTCTCAGTAAAAAGAGCAAAATCAAAATGAAATAAATGATCAAAAATGGCCTCGCTTTTATGTCTTTTAGGAAACATGATGAGTAAATAGTTCATGTATGAATAGTTCATGTACGAACTTAGTAACCGTTAGTTAAATCACAAATCTGCTTTGTGATTAATATCGTCTTATTAACAGAGCGCGAGGTCTTTACCGAGAAATATCGGAGCGAGGTCTTTTTGTACAGACCGAGCTCGAAGAGTGAGGTCCGATCTTTCTCGGTAAAACCGAGCAAGAGGGGTTAATAAAAAGTTTATCATATGCCCTAAGGCATGTATTTGCACTTGAAACAAACAAGAAATGCGTGAATTCGTATTAGTAGCCTTGGTTTCCGATTTTTCATTGATACTTCATGTCATTCATTTATGTTGACAACAAACAAAGAGCGTACCTTAGTTTTCAAATCAGAAATTAGATACAAACAAACATTTCTCAAATGAGGCAAAATTATGTGCGATTTAAAATAGTCATTGTTAAATACAAAATACCGTTCGAAAATACGATAACAGATTATTCGGCGGATTCATCTCGTTCGGCCATCTTTAGATGGACAAATTCTTGGGCTACCTCCTCCGTGGTTCTCTGCGCCAAAATTCTTATAATAGTTTGACCGATGTTGTCCAAGGTCAGCGACCTTCCCAATGGACATGAGCATGCGCAAGACGCCATTGAGACGACTTGAGAAAGTTGTAGGACAGTGGTTCCTAAGAGTCGATTCCTTCGCGTTAGACAGTAATCTTTGACACTGAATTGAATTTCGTAGCCATCCGCCTCGTCTTCGTTTCCAAGATTGCTAAAATACGAAGCGAGGTTCAGTGAGTATCGTCAAATTTGTGAACATTTTTTCACGCTAAGCCAATCAGAATGCCTAAATTTTTACTACTTCATGTAAAATGGTATATATTGTACCATTTTACTGATTTAGGTTGATAATGAGAATGTAGACAAATGTGCTGATTGGTTTGAAACGAAATTTTAAAATTTTCTCCTTATTTGCACTCACTAGTAAAATGTTTCATTGAAAGATGGATTCCAGTTATTTCTCTTGGATCTAGTTTGATAACGGCGACGTCTCGACGAAAGATGAGGTCCGACCACCATTATTTCCACGAATGGATTGAACATTCCTGAAGCACAGTACACAGTTAGTTACGACATGATTGCTCATGAAGGCAAGGCATCGCTAGTTAAGAGGGTTGGATGACATTGAAGAGGAAAAAAACACACATAGCATCCTTTACCTGCAGCATGCCACCGAAGGTCTTTCGCTTCAACAACTGGAAAAAATGATATACGGAACATCAAAATTAGTACAAGGTAGGCCAAGATTGATGGAAACATATTCATTTATTGGCCTTTTTGAAAGAAGAAATTAAAGTAAAGATTCTTTCTTAGAGCAATAAAGGTTAAATAGCAAAATTTATTTATTAAACGACATAAACTACAGGGTTTTGTTTACGGTAAAGTGAAGATTTAACACACGGAAAGTCACAAACTCTACACCAAGTTAAACGGACATCTTGGTCACATTTATACAAACCTTTTACGGTTAATTTATGGTCTCCTGTTCCAGGATGGCTCATGTAGTCTACTTGAATCGACAACTCCCCGACAGGATCATCGACAGCTTCTTTTGCTAAAAGAAAGAGAGTTCTTAAAATGCCTTTCCATCGATCAAAAGCAATACTGAAGCGAACAATCATGGGCCATGCAATAAATCTTCTATGCCAACCTTGTTGTTGCTGTGTTTTAACAAACGTCTTGATCAAGGTATCCGTAGTTTGCGTGTAAAGAGACAACGCTTTCTTTAATTTGTGAAGTTCGGGCGACTTCTCAAGAAAAGCTCGTTTCAACCCCTTGCCTTTATTGTGGAAATAATCCTGTAATCACAAACACAGTGTTTAAACGTCAATTGCATGTTTAAAAAGTTAAGTCACTCAAAATTTTCAAAAATTATTTTGACGAAACTCTTATTCCCACCCAACAGTACTTCATAGTATTCACGGGTACTTTGAACTCAATCTTATACAATTAATTTCAGGATTTTTCCAAGCCCCAAGTGCGAATCACGGACCATATTCTTCGCACAACTTCTACACGGATGAGAAATAATTACCTTCAGCCGGATCAAAGCGGCTTCCAGTACACCGCATTGCTTGTGAGACAATCTTTTTGTCTCTTCAATTTCAAGATCCTGAAACAAAGGTATATATATACTGCATCAGAAACCAAACTGTGAATTCCTCCAGAAAAAGATACAGAGCATAATGGATTACCTTTGTCTTGAACGGGGGCAAGACAATCACCCTCTCAAATGTTGTTAAAACCTCCTTCCATAATTCCTGAAATAAAAAGAAAAACAAATTGAATATCAACAATTTTGGTGAAAAAAAGTTTTCTCCTCAGATAATCTAAAAAAATCTACCGATTACGACTATGAAAACCTTATCCATTCCATTGTATTTAGTCTGTTTTTCTCTCCTTAAAAACAAACCCATCTTTCATGCATTTTTTGATTTCTTAGTATGAATTGTTTGCAAGTAGCGTACACAGAAACAGCCCATATAGAATATTTGACTTTATATATAATATTTTACAACCTAATCGTGTCTACAATATTTACAGAATAACTATACAACAATGACTAGGTCATTTAACGACAAGAAAATGGACTGACATTTTTTTTACATTGAAAGAAAAACAAACAAATTGCTCGTCGATTTTGGATCAGTTTATGAATTAACGACTTCATTGTGAACGTCTGATGGAACCAAGCTATTTGCTACAAATCAATTATTTTAATGTGAACATACAATTGTAGCTTTTTCCAGGAACGTTCTTTGTTTATACAAACTTACTGCACTGAGCGACCGCGAAAAGTTGACACAACTTGTCTTAAGATTGGATTTCGCCAGAAGAATATCATAGAATTAAGAACGGAATTAAGAAACGCAAACGTCATCATCAGTGCAAATATATTGTTCACTAAAAACTTGTCCTTTTCATTCAGAGGGTACACGAAACAAGAGGGAAGGAAGCAAACCATTTGACATAATAGTACGAGAAAACATGATTTGGCTAGTCTCGTTTCTTGTTGAAATTCACGTTCTTCCTTTCTGTCCGAAGGACTTTGCACGGCTGCTCCGTTCAGAGCTCTCTTCCTCGACCGAGTCCGCTTCCTCAGCAGAAGGAAGATTCTTGCGTACACAAATGTGGCAAACACGATGAAAACGAATACCATGAGAGCGTTTACGTTTATGAAAATCGGCGGTGATATTGCTGACAGGAAGAGAAGGCATGTTGTTGCAATGCAAGAGCCTGTGATGTATTTTAAAAGTTTGTTTTTGGTAACTTTAGTGCGATGGACGAGAGGATGGAAAATTCCCATGTGGCGTTCGAAGGTGATCGCTGCCAGCACTTGAAACGAAGTGTTTGTGAAGAATACCACAACTTTTAAAAGCATCAGATTCAACATGCAATTTGGTCTCTCATTCACTTCCATCCCTAAACCAATCGTAAACAGAGGTAGAGAAATGGTACCGACCGCCGTGTCGAACAAGGATTGGACCAGAATTAGGAAGAAGCAGACCTTCTCTTTGAGTTTTGGAGATTTCAAAATCGTCGAAGCGGCAATGAGATTCAGGAGGACAGTTGGAACGATCAACAGACCATCGAGTATGCACAACGAAGCTCCGATGATTTGATTATTTTTTTACTTTCCGGAAATCGGGTGATAACAGTAAATGTCTCCCCGAGAAGGTAGCAATTCTTAAAATATTCTGCGTCAGTGAAATTCATAGTTCTTGAAGACGATTTACAGATAAAAATATGTGATACGTTTTCCCGCGATGTCCATGGCATGATAGTTAGATGCTTTTATAGATAATATAGTAAGGATAATTACTTGAGCAATATATTGATATAGTCTGTTTGGCAAATTTCAAACTGCGAGAACTTTTAATTCAAACGGTTAACACATATGTACAATGTTCCTCGAATATAATCCATTTGCAAAGACCTACATTTGCACTTAAAGTGCAAAAAGGGCTTTTTATCGAACGATTATTATAATTATATATTGCCTTTCGAAGTTTAATATAAATGCCCCATTTCGCTCGTTTTATGCAATTTCGTATTGGATAAAAGGATTTAATGGTTTTACATCACACCCGTAGGAAAGAACATCTGGAAAGGCAATTTTTTGCAGTAATTGCAACCTTACAAAGAAATTACAAACCTTAGCGACTCTTTTAAGTACAGATTTTTCACACTGAACTGCGATCAACATGAGTCTGGCCTGAAGAGGTTCAAGTAATGGACCCAGGACGTGTTCTGTTTGTTTCTTCAGCACCTCCGGACCGACGGTCTGGAAATTTTCAGTACCCTTAATTCTGAGAAAATGAAACAAATTTAGTTTGGTAAAGGTTTTCACGCGAGTGACTTGTTTTCGTCGTAGGCTTAAATCATAAATATTTCGAAACTACAGGAAAATAGTTTTTAAAGCAAAACGGATGCCATTAACAGACTGCGTTTAATCTATATTGAGAGCCGTCTACACTTGCGATCTTTGCTGCGATTTTCTTCTTTTGATAGATGCGAACGAGTGATTCAGTTACTGATGTTTAAATAAGAGTTCTTATACATCAGAGCATTCGTAACTAATTACTCGTTCACATCTACCAAAAGAAGAAAATCGCAGCAAAAATCTCAAGTGTAAACGATTCTTTTAGGCTTTTTTGACATGCAGGTGTTTGGATTCAAAAGGCATTATCCAGGGACAGCTTGTATTTGAGCGAATTCATAAACCATAAAAAAAGGATTTAAGGATTTTAATTTCGAGTTGAAATCATTAACATTTTCAAACCAAATAAGCTACAAAAACTTTAATAGTTCCTGACTTGAATTTGAGACGTGTACGAATTCCCCTCGAGATTAAGAAACTAAATTAAACCCTTTAGAAATTACCCAACATCAAGCGAAGTGCCACAAAACCATCTCGGGAAATGTACTCAAATACAACTGGAACGATAACTAGTGGGGAACATGTCCATGTATATTATTTGCCTAAAACCCAAATAGTTTCTCTGTGTTTCAAGATCCACAAATGTTGCGCAGCCTGTTTTTAAACTGAGGCTACTGAAAATTGCTGTTCGGTGTTAAAAGGAAAAAAAAATTGGCTGAAGAAGTTAAATTAAGGATTTTAAAATTACAAAATCAAATGCTCTTTGGTCTAAAATTGGCAAATTATTTTGTGGCTATCAAATTGTCTTGCAATTTGCATACTCAATTTTGATATCAATCAGTCCAGTATAAATAGGTAGAGTAAACTCACTTGTTCAATTCTTGATCAACGGCTTTGATTGGTTCAGTGAAATCGATGCTGTCAGCATACGTTTTACACAGTTCATCCAGGACTGAGCTGAGGTGCACTTGAAGTTCGGTGAAGCTTTCTTTACACTCTTCCGGCAACTGAAACAGCCATCAAATTTGTGTAAGAAACTATACACCGCTCGGAAACTAGGATCACTATTGACTGGAAGCAGATAATAATCTGTTTCCATTGCAGAAGCTGTTTAAAAACGGGAAATTCTATACCTCGTCAGCACCCATCGACTTGTAGATCTGCTGAAGATGATTTCTGCTTTCTTGGATATTATTGGTAAGAATACACACCTTCATTGGGAAAAATATGAATAAAGACGATATACCGGGTAAGAATTTAAGGCTTTGTGACGGATTATCGACAGAGGCCGGTTGGAGCTAACTGCAATCAGCAGGAAAATCCAGTATTTTGTCTTTCTTATCGATGAATATTTTTATGAAACCGGTCTCAAATGACATGAAATAGTACAGCAATTTTACCTTAACTCTCTCATCTTCCCGACAATAACCCGAGAACAGTTTCTTTGTTTCTTCGGAGTAATCCAGTAGAACTCTGAAAATCGTCTGAAAATGGAACGAAACACTATAGCAAATATAATGATGTAAGAAATTCATCCGCAAAACGTGAGGTCGCTTTGGCGAATTTAGAGACAGCCGTGCAATTAGACGGCAAAAACGTATACGCCGTTACACAGTCAAACAAACCTGTGTAAACTTTAACAAGTAGACTTTTAACGTCGGTGGACTGGGACATTCAAGTTGTCTAATGATGTCGTAACTCTGTCAAAAGAGAAAAAAGATCGGAATTGTAAGAGAACATCGTTCATTTCAGGTGCCATATCGAAATTGGTTCGGTTCATACAACCATGTTGTTCACTTTGCCTCATTTGCTACTGACTTCACTGTTTTATGGTAAAATACGTGGTCAATGGCGTAATGAAGCAAGTTTTTCTGCATTATATCGAAAAACAGCAAAACAAACCTGATTTAAACTCCAGAATATATCCACAACAGATGTTGAGAAATTGGAATGCTCTGAGCTTGGTTGAAACTATAGACGGAAATATAATTCTAATATTTTTGCATTATACTGTTAGAAGTTCCCCAAATAAAGGATTAGACCAACGGATTCGTTTAGGCATGCAATGAATAGAATACAACAAAAAAACTTACGCCATTTTTCTTGTCTTTCTCAAGAGCCTCCACCAGCAAATCCATCGCGATTTTCTCATTTTCCTCCAGCCAACGAAGAACAAACAACTCGAACCAACTGTAAAATTGAAGAAGAGATTCACTGCGAGTTTTTAAACGAAAACATTTCAAGAAAGGAGTCTGATTTAGCTTTTTTAACTTATATGAAGGTTGATCACTGTACAAGCTAGCACATACATAACAAAGCAATCTATAAGCTGGACTTACGATGAATATGCAGGTACCTCCTCTTGAATTATTGAGCAATTGGCAATGTATTCATTGTAAAACCATTTCACCTAAACAGAAAAATATTGACTGAAAATTGAAGTAATTTTCTTACTATCATCAGTAATAATATACATGCATGATAACTTTTGTTTAATTTTACATCGCGAAGCGGCGTATATTCCTTTTACATCCATTATATTCTCGATGCTTACTTTAAAATGCAAGTTGATGTAGTCAGTTGTCGCCCATTTCGGCTTGGATTCGTGTTCTGAAAGAAGACATTACATGCCGTTGATACAGGAAGGAATCATTGAGATGAATAATAAACCAGTTTATTCATCTCAATGGAACTAATACAATACGTTTCGAGAAACCTTCTGTGCAACAAATTGATACATTACGTTTCAATGTTTCTGTTAAATCTGACGTGAATGACAGCCACATCGTCGATGCAGACATTTCACCGATATTCAAATCCGAGAATCTGGAAAAAGTCGTAAAGATTTCTCGTAAACCAAACACGTTGTATTTTTCTAAGCTTGAATCTGCCATCTATCACACAAACAACTTTTCTACACCACCTTTGCAATACGGATACCTCTCCAGCACGATATGAGAATCTCTTAAATACTGACCCCTTCCACTCGAACGTAAATCTCCCACACATACCTCTCGCGTTCTAACACATTTAAACACGAACATCTCTCAAACACAAACATCTTTCTGACACAAACATCGCTCTAACACGAACATCTCTCTAGCACGAACATCTTTCTAACACGAACATCTCTCTAGCACGAACATCTCTCTAACACGAACATCTCTCTAACACGAACATTTCTCCAACACGAAAATTTCTCTATAACACGAACGTCTCCCTAACACGTACGAAAATTTCCCTAACAAGAGGGCGTACTGTACTTACTGACTCAACACGGGGGTGTAATGTTTTTTATCCTCTTCAATGACGGACACCATAAGAGTAATTAACTGAGGCCAGAAATCAATGTGACTTGGTGAACGCACGCAATAATCCTTCCCTGATCCAGATTGCTCGTACAATTGACTGCAGTTGTTGAAGATAAACTGGTATGTGTGTTCTAAACAATTCTGTGATAAACAGTTCGGTCATTATTTCATCAACTACAATATAATGTTAAATACAGTAGTACATCGAAGGCATCTTGGTAGTTGAGAAGTTGACACGTATTTTAAGATCGAGAGTTTGCTGAAATCAAATAACTTGGTAACATTCCTTTACCTTCACGCATTCGGCGACTACGACAGATGTTCTCGGTGGGTTGTTCATCTCTTGCACCTAAGCATAACAAAAATGATGTTAGTCGTTTTCCCAATTTAGTTCAGTTCAGTTCAGTTCAGTTCGGCTCGGCTCGGCTCGGCTCGACTCGGTTCGGTTCCGTTCAGTTCAGCTATCATCCGATACCTACCTTTAATCTAAAAAACGTGATGCTAGTCAACAGATCCACAGTAGATTTCAAGTCCGTCATTTTCTCCTGGTTGTTCGACGGAAAGTTCGTCTGCGAATATGAAACATCACATCGTTACGACGTTAGGTCGTTAATCTAACCTGTATTCCATCGAGTTTGTATGAGATAAGTCCTTTGCGAAGTTAGTTGATCAGGGATTTATATGGCCTTCCCGGGTCTTCCCAGTTCAATATTCAGAAATAAAGTAATCACAAACTCACTCTGTAACCTTGAAGGTCGACCCGCAGTAAATTGTGCAATTGATCCAAAATCTTCACAAACCGTTCTCGCTGTGAAAAAACATTCATATAAGAATTTGATTCGGAAGACATATATAGATCTTAAATAAAAGCTTGCGTAATGACGTATTTTGCGGCGAAGCGCGTTTGTGATTCAGTGATTGGTTAATGCGCCCAGTTGACGAATCACAACATGCTTGATCCGTAAACTACTGTACGTCACAAACTACGTGAAGGCCCATACACTGTAGCTTGACTAGGACGCATAAAACGACACATATATAGCGTTGATCTGAACGCTGTCGAGCCATAATAAAATGTATACAACTGTCCCTGGCGTACAATACAATACGAAACATTTCACATATACTCACTCCAAAATTGATTGCTGCAAATCTGTCGCAGGCCGATGCGATATTACTTGATGTTGTATGGGCAAAGAAAGCGTTGACATTTGCAAGTAATTTACTCATCACATCCGGGACACCAGGGCTTGTGTAGTGAATCGCCAAGCAAGAGAAATGCCTGCAAAACAGACGGACTTAAATGGGCAAATTTCTTGATATACAGTAACTCTAGCATTCCCATTAAAAAAGGCTCCTTCGCACCAAGATAACATCAGCAACACCTGTTTTAACTTCTGGGAATTAATTTGAAGTCTATACATGTAAATGAACTCTTTGCGGTGTTGGATTTCTCCCTACTTGCTTTGAAACGAGTTTTGTCCACAGTTGAAATCTTCCATTAAGCAGTGTGGGAGAGAATTTAAAGACATTATTTCACCAGTCCAATTTATCGTACAATCCTCTACACGATCTATTGTCACTGCTGAACGAGAAAGACAATTTTCTCGACAACCAGAAAACTTACGTCATGGCTTGATAAATGGTCTCAATTCCATATCTCATTGAAAATTCCTTTACAACTTCTTGATAGTCCCCAGGGAAATACACTTTCCAGGCTTCCTCCTGAAAGGTTAATTTGCATCATACATTATCGAATGTAGATTGTCATAAAAATACATAATTAGCTTCTTCACATTCACAAACAGATCATATTGCTCCGAAGGAAAGAATCCTATGACTTTACCTTTTCAGAAACCTTCGGTATAGGAACTTTGTCGTCATTTTGTTTGCAGAGATAGTGGAACATGTTCTAAAAAATATTCAGGAAGTTCAAGTTTCTGCTAATCTTTCGCATTTGTGATAAGTTAGGCCTATCGCAATTGATCGATGCATTTTTCCTCAAATCAGCACTTTGCTAATTATAGAATCAAACTCCACATTCTGTAGTGAACTAAAGTATGTGTTCTCGTACCTCGTGTAGACTGGTATACTGCGTGTGATAGGGAACAAGCTTTTCCTCGCCTTTTATCTCGATGCTAATATGAAGTCGTATAGCTCCTGATACCGCAGATCGGTCGGTTCGTTTCTCTAAAGTAACGCGTAAAAATAATCATGTCCATGCAAGTTATTTTAAACATACGTGAACAGTGTTGTGCTGCATCCTGTGAGCAGCATTGTTAACGGTGTTTGCTAAACTATTTTTACTGTTGAAACTTGGTGACAATCACATGTTATCAAAGTCTTTCTTACCAAGGTTATACCACACATCCATTTCCCCGCTTAAAGTACGAACTTCAATAATGGCTTGACCAAGGAAATCATCTGTCTCCCGTGTAAACTTCGACAGCACTTTGGATCTGAGATCATCATCTTCATCCCTGGATACAAAACCACATCAACACATTACCATCAATAGTCCCTCATCAGTCCCTCATCAGTCCCTCATCAGTCCCTCATCAGTCCCTCATCAGTCCCTCTTTCCATGCTGGGAAATGTCCGGAATAATAGCTAAGGCGGTTTATATGGATGACAATCGTGGGTACAAATCACGCACTAAAATTACAAGATTCTTTGCTTACCAAACACGAACTTTGATTCGATCCGTAAAGTTGTGACATTCGCTGAAAAATACAGAATACCAACAGTCATTGTAGAATTGACAGGAATCTCAGAAATCTTGATCATTCTGGGGCTGGATCATGAGCAATAGTAATACCATTCGCAACCAGTCCAACTATAATCATTGTATGTAGAATCGACAGAGACCTTAATCATTAGGCAGCTGGGGTCGGTTGGATAAAACTCTTGACTACATTTTGCATTGTTAAATCATAGTTAACTCAGAAACATACAACTCAGATTAGCCAATTCTGTCCTTAACTACCGTTAAAAGTTAACTAGTCTTTTCTACAACTGCCACTGGAGTAGTCAACTTACAAATGAAACGTCTCATCCCAGGTTGGGTTCAATTCATGAGGAATTGTCTTTGTCCGTTTCTTCGTTCTTCCAACATGAACTGTCACGTACGGATCACTTGTGCCTGGGAAAGTAAAAAGAAAAACTAATGAATGTAAATTTTCAGACTCATCGCTATCTTTATCTTGTATCATCATCTTATATCAAAGTTTCGTTTTCACGAGAGTCTCCGTTTCGAAAGAGGTATATTGTATATTGCGCTTAATCACCGGCACATTACCTGTTTTATCCTTGGCAATAAGCCCCTGGGCACAGACCACTGTTATGGCTAGCTTTGCCGACCATTTCGACGTTCCTGCAAGAATCTGTTGATGAGCATTCTGAAGATGGACAAGATGCTGATTGTTGTCCACCTGGAACACGTCCCTGAAATTAAAGAAAATTTTACCACTTGTTAACTTGTATGGTTTTCATAGAAAACTTCACCCATCCACCCACCAACCTTATCATATCAAATGATTTTTCTTTCATTTGCTGCCGTTCACGCATGCGCTCTTTAATTGCTTTTGTTACAGCCTCTTGTTTGAAACCTTCGCCTTCTTTGGCCGCCTTTTCAGCGGCACCTGGAAACAAGAAAAAAGAATTAAATCGATTAAGATTTAGTCGAGAAAAACTACTTCAAAAACTGGATCACTGGCTTAGACATCCATGCATCGAAATACTTGGATATAGATCAGTTCCTCGATATTTTGTAAATACATGTAAGCTATCTTCTCATGACTGAGCATTCACTTTTTACTTACGTTGCAAACAATCAGCATTTAGCAAATCTTTACATTTCTCGTGACACTTTACTCCACACTCTAAACAACGACAATGAAATTTGTTCAAACTGCGTACGTACAACCATCTCCGTTCTTTCCTTATAAGTCTTCAACTTCCGTTGTTAGCCAACGAAGAAAACTCTCGATAATTTCGTTTGGAAAAGAAAAGTGTTTGAGATTCCAACGGCAACGGTGTTTTCAAACTTAAAACTCAAGTGAACTGATCTTTATCGTCAGCCGTCAAAAAGGAACCTTACACAGAATGCCTTTTCATTTACATCCTTTCAAGTGAACAAATTGTAGAAGATTAAAAAGATGCCGAAATCTATTGCTTGAAATATATAGTGTTGTTTATCCTTCACAAGATGGATAATGATCTCATGGTATTGTATTTCAAGGAAGTCAAGGTAACAGGAAGAAAGGACTTGACCTTTGTAATACAGGATATGCATGGTAAAGTTTTATTTCATGATCCCGTGACCAAAAAGTATGCGCCATTCATTCACTTGATATGACCATCTGTGAACGTTACTGTACTAATTCGTTGACTGACTTACGTTTGCAGCGGAGGCCTTGTCGCGCCAGTCCCCACAGAAGTTCCTCGCATTCGTAGCAAAACGCAGGCACTTGGGTTGACCAAATGGCGAACTCGTGAGGTGTTGTATCTGCAAACAAAACATATAATATAAGTTATATAACATCGTACGTCGTGCCTGCTTAACTAGTGTTGATTTGCATTCGCACTGAAACTTCCTGCTGTAACCATAAAAACTTTATTAACAGTGTAGAACTTAAAAGTGTAGTGTAGAACTACATGTCGTTGTTTTATCGAGAAAGATGTGTTGGAAATTTTATAAAACGTTTCTCACACCTGAAATTGGATACAACATCGCTTGCAATGTCTTTTTGTACACATGCAGTTTCTAGAACGAAAGAATGTTTCAATTAATTTGTAATCATGGCAAATAACTGGATATTATTGGACAGTTTACTATAGACGTACGATAACTCAGTTTCTATAGAGAGTCAACGATCTTTATTCCGAGTGCAAATCAAACAAGGAACAACATTTCAACACAGAGTAAATTTAAGAACCGTGTGTCGTAGGACTGCTATAGCTCGGTGTTAAAATGTAAAAAAAAATACTATGTTTTCGTACCATATCTTCATCTGTGAGATTAGCTCGTTGGGCCATCGACAGTCTAGCCATTCTCCTTGCTGAAACGTGAGACTAAAATAGGGAAAATAGTTCACACTTTAGCACTTAAAAAATTTAGCACTTATGTGTCAACTTCCGAACCATTGACTGAATTTTTATGCAAAGCAGGTCTAAGAGGAGTTAGGTCTATGCGGAAGATGAAAAAATGACCTCATATTGTTAATTTAAGAAACAATCTTTTAGCCTAGCAACACGGGAAAATATACAGCATAGGTGCTGCTCACGAACAAAACTTCGTAGGCATTACTTTGTGCCATACTAACCAACGCATGAACACCCAAAGCTTCTGTGTGTGGCTTTAGATCTGGACACATGTCGATGTTGCTCAAAAATTTATTTCTGTAGAAACGATGGAAATAATATTTTGATTGTCAATTTGATAACAAATTAAGCTAATCTTTGTGCGGTTGTATTCGCGATCTCTCATAGTTAAATGGACATTCTTATTAGTATTACTGGCTGTATTCTGCAATCATTCTTCGCTCTTTTAAAGTGAGAAAGGTTTTTATTGAAATGCTAAAGAACTGCTCTTTCATGCATGCTAGCATTACATCATTATATTAAATACATCCTGCAAGGAATTCTGTCAATTTCCGTTTTGCCTTCCTGGAAACATGGGTCAAACATCCTGTATGACTCATTGTAAGTCAATTCCTTGAAATACTCAGCAATTTCTTCAGAACTTAAGAATTACCGACGCAAAATTCTACGTGTGATCACAAAACCTTGAACAGTGTAAACCGGGCTATTTTTAAAACAAGGAACGGGTAATATGGGGAAGGTAATGGGGAATGGTCGCAGGAATGTCATTTTTGTGCTCTCAAAGCATATAAGAATGAAAGAGAAGCGTGAGAAATATTTTGCACCGGTTTCCCCGTTAAATTCTTATTATACAAGATTATATCTATTTTTTCATATCCCCGTCATTCCTCGACCACTCGCCGGTCATTTCCCGAACATACCCCGACCATTCGCCGGTCACTCCCCGACCATTCCTTTCCCTTCTCCGTTCCCTGTTTTAAAGATAGACGGTGTAAACTGTGCCTTACCCGTATTCGCTAAGAGCTGCAGATATTTTCTCCTCGTTCTTCGGTGAAATACGAAATCCTCTTTTTCTCTTCGGTCGCTTCACCCTGTTGCCATCCTCACCGCCACCTCTGCTTGAAACAGATCCTTCTCGACTGCTGTCCATGTCGTAGTCGGATAAACTTGTATTATCACCGCCCGTAATCTGAGGAAATTGAAAGATTCTGTGGGCGCCATGTTTAAAACATTTCCATACTACTCAAGAGGTTCAAAGTTTGATAAAAAAGGATGCTAATTTTTCGGGTAAGAACCGATTATCAGTCGACTTTTTTTGCTTTCTAAAATTTACAATATCGATTGCACGACATGTAAGATCTCTTTAAAACAGCAGAGGCAAATTGTTTTACCACTTCTTCGGTATACCATGCACTGTAAACATGGCGATTTGGGTTCAAAATTGTCTGATTTATCTAAGGGATTATCGATCTACCCTGACCCTTGTCCATTTTGTCGCCTTAGTATACACAAGATTATTAATTCGGACGGTTCGTTTTTACTGTGTGCTAGCTTCAAATTTTCAGTTCAAGTGATACTTTCAGAGTATTGTTTTCTAAATATTTTTGCTCGACAAATTTGAAGTCTAAGTGTTACGAGGATTTCAAAGAATGCATCAATTTTCAATAAAAGAAAACGTCTTTTAAAGTTTTAAAAGGAATACTTACTCCATCCGGCGTTAAATAATTAACTTCTGATTCAAAGGAAGGGTCTCGTGGTGGCATGCCCTTTCTCACGACCTGCCTTCGGCTAAGACTCGGCGAGTTTCGTGGAGACTCCGGTACGAGAAGAGCGTCGTGTGATTTCGGTTTTTCCATGTCTGCCTCAACATCGCTGTTTTCTTTCAATGCGCAATTCTCCGGGTCGACCTTTTTCTCTTCAGTGGACGAAGGACCGTCTTTGGAGTCGTAAATCTTCTTTCCTAAACAAGAAGAGAAAACGTTTATTAAAAACAGATATACGAGCTGACAATCTATATATTTAATCCTTGAAATGCGTTAGATAAATTGCTTTTGCAGACCTGCATATGTATGCTAAGCTTAAATTACGATATCAGTGAATTTAAGACTGTATAAAATCTACGCAAAAATCTGTCGCCATATTCACAATTTTTTTTGCGGAGAGAAGGTTTATCGACTGCAGTTGGTAAACAAAGTCTGAAACGTGTTTATTACAAGGTGAAATTGGTTTCCAAACATCAGCAACTGATCCTAAATGTGAAGTTTATCATTTTATGTCTTCGTAGTATTAGTGCCGTACCGTGATCCTGATCTGACAACAACGATTTCAATTCCGAGTGCCGAGAAACTTGCTTTTGAATGATGTGGAGTTCATCTTGCATAATGGCGTTCAACCAGTCCAACTTCTCCTGAAGATTTGCTGCCTCGCTCTCCGTGAGACCTGAAAGGTGTGGAAATGAAACAATTCATGCACAGAGTAAGTTATATACATATGCCAGCAAACTACATACATTTAATTACATTCATTATTCTGCTAAAACGTCGAACTTGTTATGACAAGATGGCCACAGCTTGTGCGGCGTAAAAACTTCGTAAATATGATACATAATCAGTTATTGACAAACAAAGCCAAATTTACGTTAACAAGAGCGATGTTGAAGCAGGTTTAGGTTTACTAGGTTCATTTTTGGGGCAGGGAAACTCTTAAAAGTAGCTATAAGATTAAGCGAGAAAGATACATATTTAAGTTGCTATTTTAAATGCAAGTTTTGATATCAAAGGGGTATTCACCATTATCGAAGTTATGTAAATAGACCGGAAATCTAAATATATTAAAAAAAATTCAAACAAGCTCGTTTTGCCGGGATTTTCAGTGATTAAAGGGGAAATTCATGTTGTATACAATCGAGGTTAAATGTATAAGCTTGATTCATCATGCAGGGAAGATTTACATCAAGTACCATGGCTGGGGTGGTAAGACGGTCATGCGTACAAAGTCGCCCATGCTGGCTAAAGTATAGTTTAATGATGCCATGTTGTGTCTAGCTCTGCTGTATCAGCCCATGTGTGGGGATGTCTTAGGATTTCAAACGTTAAGAAAATTTACCATTTGGGAGAGAAAATCTGGTCGCAATACACAGTTTATGACCGGCTTCTATAACACCAGAATAACCAACACGATACAATGGAATCCATATACTACTGCTTTCCTGAATAATAAAAAAAAGATAAATATAATAAATATGATAAATATGATAAATACGATAAATATGATACATATGATACATATGATACATATGATAAATATGATAAATATGATATATATGATAAATATGATATATATGATAAATATGATAAACATACAGTCAAGATATGTCATGTTAGGAAATGAAGATACAACACATACAAACCATGACACAGAGATATTTTAGTATATATAGACGGATCTCATTTTTATTACAACTGGGTTAGAGAAATTTTAGCTGGATAAGCTAGTGAAGGCCCGTTTACACTTGCAAATGTTTGGAGTGATTTTATGACCGATTTCTTGAATCTTTTGGTAGATGTAAATGAGTAGATGTGTTACGAAGGCTCTGATGCATAAGAGCTTTTTGAACATCCGTAACTAAATCACTCGTTCACATCTTTCAAACGAAGAAAATCGCACATAATAAAATCGCAACAAAAATTGCAAGTGTAAACGGGCCTTGAGGAAAAAATAGTATCAAAATAATTTTGCTACACAGTGAGATTGGAAACGAAAAATAAGGACATCAGCATTCAACAAAGAAACAAACGAAAACAACCCAACAGAGAGGCATGTTACAATTGTTTTCATTTGAAAAGTACAATTTGTGTTAAAGTTAAGCGAAATAGAATCTGGATAAGTTTTTATGTAGTATAAAATGGACATTGTAAAATCACCTCGTTTGAATGGTGGATATGTATGAGAGGGATTCGAGCAGATCCAACCAACGTGTCCCGTATCAAACCACGACTCCATAACTCCAGATTCAAGTCACGATTGAGTTCAGTCGTTTCACTACAGTACAGACGGTCAAAATATTATTACGCTGGTCAATTCTTTATCTATAAAACCGCTTATTTATCTTTCTTTTTAAAGAGTTACATCATTAATGTATCATGTATCAAGAGTTACATCATTAACATCGTGCTACTTTCTGGGTGAAATGAAATCCACTCTTCAGTCCAAGCGAAATATTCAGTAAAAAATACTCACAACAGGAACTCTTCTCGCCACACAGGGCTCGCTCCACGAGCGACTTCCGTTTTGGAAATAGCATTGTGCAAAATTATCTTCACATAGCTGTTGATGTTACCTAAATACAAGAAAACCAAATTAAAAACTGAACCTGATTCTTATCTCAATTTTTTTCTGTTGTCGACTAGCTTGCAATGCACCTAGATAAACAACTCTGTCTAATGCCCAATGATTTTTTCAAACAGATTTAAATTGAGGACGGGAGCGTCAAAAACGACGTGAGAATGGCGAAATGTGGCGATGTGTCTTTCTGGACGGCATTTCTTTGTCATTCCAACGATTCCAACGCCGTCTTCGACAATGTTTCCGTCCTCAATCTGCCTCCAACACGCCATGACTATTAAGTGTTTTCTCGATTGAATATTGACTTCAATCAGGGATGTATAAAGAAGTAGTGGTGGTATTGAGAGCTTTTTGATGCAAACAAAGATCTTTCAAACATCTAACTCTTTTTTCATCCAAATAATTCAAAGACTATTATGTAAAGGCCCGTTCACACTTGCGATTTTTGCTGGGACTTTATGTGCAATTTTCTTCTTTTAATAGATGTAAACCAGTGAATTATTTACAGATGTTCTGGTAAAGCTCTTAGCATTCGTAACTAGTCACTAGTTCACATCTATCAAAAGAATTAAGTCGCACAAAAAATCGCAGCAAAAATTGCAGGTGTAAAAATTCCAAAATTATGTAAGATGCAAAATTATTCCTAAAAGTTAATTCGGTTTTGGCATGGTATAGTTAGCAAATAACCTGGTATTCTTCAGGCAGACATGCATTGCTAACCAATACCAGCTACTACCACTGAAAAAGGTAGAGTAGAGGCCCATGTAATTCTACTAACCAACTGGTATACCTTGACATGTAAGATCCGGTTTACACTGTTAAAGTTTCTGTATTCACATTTAAAAATTTGCATTGGTAAATCCCAAGTGCTCGAGTATACCGCGATGAAGTAACTCAGTGTTTACCACTGTTTAACTTTGCTTTGACTATTTCTACCTAATATTTTGGGTTTATAAGAATTGCCGCTTGAAAATGTGTGATCACAGAAAAATTTAACAGTGTAAACTGGGTCTAACTCTATTAGCACACAAACAGCGAAATTCAACAAAGGAAAGTTGCAAAGAATTGAACGAATAACCCTTTCCAACAGAACGATTAAGGGATTGGGGACTAGTAGGCAGTCCTCAGATCCAGCTTCTTCATCTACCTCTTTTATCCACGTTTCCTCCTTTAAGCTATGAAATATTGCGCCGGAAAATTGGGTTCTTTGATATTTCCAATGCTGAATTTTGCCGCATCAATATCAGTAGACGTTGCCTTTACTGATAAGTAATATAACCAGGCAATAGACAGAGTGATGTGTGTAATATTAATGTGTGTTTTGTACATTGCAAGGGCTTGAATATAACCTGTTTAAAATGTAAACAAACTACAAACCCAAGTTATTTGGTTAAAATTTGGTTTCGGCTACAATTTAGAACAAAATTTCAACTAACATATTCACGGTTGTGAAGCCAAAACATTCATGGTGTGCTTCGGGTAGTGTAGATATCATTTATTAAAGATGTTACGTATTGGCAATATTAAATTACTATTGAACGATATTAACCGTGATAACAAACTAAATTGTTCCTGATTTAATTGAAAAGAAGATTCGATTCAAATCGCAGACACGATGTTATAGCAACATATAAAAGTCTTTAGAAAGGTCATTATTTACTAGACACACACAGCAGGAAGGAATTAGATGTCAAATTCATTAGATTTAAATGCGAATGCTCGCTAAACACCAATGTAGCAAATTATCCCTCCTATTAGCTAGGCTATAATTCTATAAACTAACAAACATGTTACATACCGGTTTGACCTTCTACTTTCCCTTTATGGACTAAAAAAAAGCAACGGAGCAGGCAATAAATAAATAATTACTTGGTTAAACTAGCCAGACTTGGGCCAAATATAACCTATCAAAGCACTTTTATTTATTTACTCACTGAATACGACTAGAACGGTCATTTTCGCCACAGCAAACGTGTATATAGCCTCATGATCAATACAGGATGTTCAAACGCGAAACGACATATCTTTATGGTGTTACAAATCAAGAAACTTTCATGGCATGCTTAGTTTTGTATTTTCCTGCCAGAGCTTCCTACGCGATTTGTTACTGACAATTATCATATATTCAAATGCTTCCTTCAGTTGCTTGCATAATTTAATACGCGTAATCAAATATCACGGCTTATATTTGCCTTTAGGGGGGCTTTTGAGTTGCTGTTGTATTGCACCCCATTGTGAAGTTCAGTGAACAGTTGTTCTCAGGTTTGGGGTTAGAATTTTCATATAAGCGAAGCCATTTCATCCAGAACTGCATATATTCAGCTGTTTGAACTCTAGTAAGCTTAAATTAGTTAAACGTGACCGATCTATGTCGAAGAGTATTATGCACGTGCGACAGAAGATCAAAACACTGTTTGTAATTTGAACCTACATGACAAATTTAGAAGAATAGGTTTAAGAGCTCGATTGTCCCCAGCAAAAATTGATTTGAAAGACAATGGAATTTCCTTTGTGGCAAGTTCGATGCAAACGGCGATCACCATAAGCGAAATGACTGTAATATTCACGCCCATGACGGAACTAAACTCTTTTGTGTTTTGGGAACGAAGTGAAATTACTCGCGTTTTTCTTGATACAATCTGTCATGGTCAGCAATGGTCCGAAATATGACATTTTGTAAACTCAAGATATAAGCTATTGAAAAATTTCCGCTCAGCTGTTGTAATTTGACAAAAGGTGTGAAATGTGAATCTGAATTATTGTGTTAAGTCGTATTCGTTTTGGAAGTCGAATTTTAACCGTACGGAACTCGAATTTTGGAAGTCGAATTTTAAACGTACGAGAGATAACAAAACTAGTCAACTGCACCTGTTCAAGCTGGGTTTTATGTGATATAACTTCGTTATATATAATTCGGTAACTTTGTCCTGATTCATATGTCCTATTTTTTTGTCATTTATTGCTATGGAAAATTCGACATATTAAAACCGAATTATAACAAATTGCAACAAATTACGACGTGTGCTTGACGATGAATTACGACGAATTATGTCATCATATCAAAACCAGCCTTTTGACAAAAGGAGATAGTCTAATTAGGTTAAAAGTTCGCCGCGGCAAATATGCATATATAAACAGCATCAATTTTTCCTTTTTTTTGCTCACCCTGTAAAGGTCTGTTCAGAAGATGCAATTTTGTCATATCCAATTCACTTCTGACGTATTGAATGTAGTCTTATCACTGAGTTTTATTTAACGAAGCAGTGCTGCGTTGGTTTAAGTCGCTTTGCATTTTGCAACTCATATACATTGCAAGTCAACAGACTATAAAGGCCCGTTTACACTTGCGGTTTTCGCTGCAAATTTATACGCGATTTTCTTCTTTTGATGGATATGAACGAGTGAATTAGTTACTGATGTTCAAATAGGAGCTCGTACACATCAGAGCATTCGTAACTTATTACTTGTTCACATCTATCAAAAGAAAAATCGCAGCCTTAAAATATCCATGAGAAGGGAATTGGATTCAACAAAACTGCATGAATCGCGCGAACAGACTTTCTCTCCACTTCTCTACTTACCAACAACATGAAGTACACTGAGAAATTTCTTTTTTGAGCTCGGTGATTGTAAATGGGCGCTGTCATGGGTCTCTTCTTCGCAGTCAGATTCGTCATCATTTCGCTCAACTTTAACCGAATCTTGCTGCCTGAAAGATGCAATATGACGATTGACAAATACTATTACTACCGATTAGGCTAAACCCTACCGCACACAGTATAAACTATACGGCTACACATTTGTGTCCGATTTGGTTACATCCGCTATATTAAACTGAGAACTTCCTCGTTCATCATGGAAATGAGCTAAAATTTCCGGTGGTATATGGCGCTCTACCGTACGTCTAGACCAGCAAATTGAATACAAGTATTCCTTGGCATGTATATCGTATATTGAAAAGCCCACACATTCATGCAGCCGTTACAAATATTGAAAAGTCCTAAAATGTCCGTAGGATCTCTCAATGTAATCCATGCAGAAATATATGCACGTATACACTATACAGTTAACATCACTTGTGAATTACAAATAAAAAGTTGATCTTTTACAGATATTGTAGATTTTTTATAATGTCTGCTTATATAAGGTCTGTACTAACCGCATTTCCCTTGAGGACCAGCTTAAACCATTATACAAACCAATTATGATAGGTTTTGTGTTAAATGGTTAACAGTGTCACTCGAATTCAAAGCTTTCGAGAACAATATACAAATGTTTCAAACATTGAATTTCCTGAATCTTCACTCACCCCGTGAAAAAATTGCCCATTTTCATCGATTAAGCACCTTCCAGGTAACATATGGTTCTCGCTAGTTCGCACTCCGCGACTTACTAAGTCAAGACGATCACTTGGAACACGAAGGTTGAACGTAATTTGAGTTAAAAGCCGAATGAGAAACGTATTTTTAAATACAGACACAAGCAACGGATATATGTATAATGTTTACATACGATGATATTATAGGCTTGGGTATATCCAAGTGAAACCGCTCACTGATTTCTAAGAGATTCGTGCTGATCTAGGATTTCATCTCTTTCTGGGCTACTCGAATGAACGTTGTAAAACGACAATGGGATATTTTCCAGGCGTTTGACCGTAGTTCCAAAGCAATGTAAACTGTGTTTACATTACGAAGCACGAGTTCGTTTATTTAAATTACAAGCGAGCTCGTTTGTCAACTTTCATTGGTTGAAGGAAGCGAACGTGTCCCAAATGCAAATTGTGATCACTCGGGAATGATGGTTTTATAAGGTTATTGTTTGTGCTGATGACGGGACAATTACTTGGCCGTGGAATGATTAATCATTGACATTGTACAAATAGTTCACATCCTCGTTTATTCTCCAATTAAACCGCTACCAGCTCTCGCAGAGAGACAAAAAATTGAGAAATTCTTGGTAATGAGAAAGTGATTGTGGGAAACGCATGCAGCCATGCATGCGCGGTTCACGTGCACAAATCAATACTGATGAGTGCCGCCCGGTTTTGGCTTTCTATTCCTATATAACGTTTTTTCATATATCACGTATTCGGCTCTTATAGTGCACGTGCATAACTAAAAACAATTATATTCACAGGAAGACTTCTCTACCTATTGGCACACTGGAACACCACATACAATAACATTTTATTCTGAACGTAGCCTATATACATATAATCTGATGTAGCTTTTATCATTCAAGACCCGTTTACACAACACTCGATTTATTGGCACGGCACGGCTAAAACGGGTTCCGTGCCCATTTCATTCGTGCTCGGCCATTGTTTTGGTAGCCTGAACACTAATAAAATTGGGCACCGGTACCAATTTTAGCCGTACCGTGCCATGCCCATAATGATTGAGTGTTTAGTGTAAACGGGGCTTCCGATAATGCCAGCCATGTTCGTCGTTCAAATGCATCGAAATCAATAAAGAGCCTGTGGCGAAATTTGTTGAATACGCAATTAATCGAACCTTTTTTTATGCTCGAGATATGAAATTGAGAAACTTGTCAAAAGTAATTCTAATCAAATATATATAATACATACATTATACAATATATAATGCTTATAGCTATATATATGTGAAGTACTCAGCGCTCCTCAATTGATTCTATATAATGTTTAGAGTATATACATGCAAATGTAAAGTATTAGCTTTTTCATTTAATCAATATATATGTATATATCGGTTTTAATTCTTAAGTTTCTCGATATCATGTTCAAGACAATTAGAATGGAAATAAACGAATATACAATGCTCCCAGCATTTGCAATTCGCGGATATATGTTATATCTACTGAAGTTCATTCTCAAAGACTGGTAATTTCATATATGAAGCTGCTGGATATTCCGTATATAGCTTCCGGCGTTCGCGGGATAAGCGAGTTAACCCAATTCGTAAAAAACGACATTGATGAAACAACACTCTTCGCGATCGAGCTAGCGCCACAGAAGCAATTCATGCTTTGCAATTAAAACAACTTATTATATGATTATAAGTTCACCGAGCATACTCGAAATTCGAATTCTATGATCATGCATTTAGCGATATAATAAAGATATATACTTAAAATCAACAAACTCACCGATTTAAACAAAATAAACCTCCCATATCCTTTATTCACGGATCTATTTCAGACTAGAACATCAGGATGTGAAGTTGTGTAGCGGGCTATCATTTCAATTTGTAATTGTGGCCCAAAAGTCGAACTCACAAATACATTTCATGATGCAAACTTCACTTGTTTGTAGATGCAGCTGTTCCAAGTTTTGAGAGCTCATCACGTTTATATATTACGTCCTCTGAGATGGAAAAATCTCCTTGATTCTAGAGTCGTAAAAAACCTGACGTATATGAGTCATCATTATTTAATTCGACCGAAATAACTGTCAAAGTTGAACAAATTGTCGCTGAAAAGCATATGGTATATCTCTCAATTATCATTGGACGTTTTCGTTTTATTGGCCTTTATTTGAAAGTTGCAAATTTGCGACACTTGCTGCTTTTTGCATATTGCATTTTGCAACAAATTGAATCGCCGCCGATTCGGTCGAAAGGCATCAAATCATTCAAATGAATTGGAAAGCCTTTATATATTGTTGGACTCAAGTGAGTGCATGAAAAGCGAGGAATTAAAGAGAGCTCTCGATTACGTTCGTTCGTATAGGCAAATGAACATGCAGACATCAAAGTGGGAAGAAGAGATAAGCAAATTCTGTGGTCTGCATTTATAATAGTAAAGCATTACATATATTTATGTATACATATATATACAAGATTTCAGCTGCCTCGATCATGAAGCCCGTTCAAGACGTTAATTACATGCAAATTGGGTATGTGAAGAACGAAAGATCCATCCTTCTTATACTGTGTGGGCGTTATATATCTTCTTCACTAAAGGCCCTGTTACACGGTGTAATTTCTCTTGCAACTTGCAATGCAATTCTACTTTTGAGAGATGTATATTTGGAAATAACGAATATTATTATTACACTTTATGCACCTTTCTTCCGCTAGACTCTTTTCTAATTTCATCTCTTAGAAGTAGATCGAATTGTATTGCAAGTTGCAAGAAAAATTGAACGTTGTAACAGGGCCTTAATTTAACGTATATAAACTAGACGGATTACTGCATAACACTATACAATCGATACATGCATGCATGAAGAATACTAGAGAAATATATTTGCTACAACTATACACTATACAGTATATACCATTATAGTATTCAACACTAGGTCCCGATTTGCGCTGTCAAAGTTTCTGTGTTCACAGTTGGAAACTTGCATTGGTAAATCCCAAGTTGCAAATGTTTTGCAGCGAGTATCACGATGAAGTAACTCAGTGTTAACCACAATTTTAGTTTCTTTTAATCATTTCTACCAAATATTTTGAAGCTTACTAGGAATTTTCGTTTGAAAATGCCAACAACAGTGATCACAGAGAATTTGACAGTCGGTGGCCTAAGATATACAACCATCGTACAGCTATTTCTATGAAGGTTGCATGTCTGTTACAATATTCAAAATGTACAATGTTCTTGCTAAAAGAATGGTGGGAATAATAATGTATATAGCTTTCATTAAGTTTAACATATCAATAGCCCCGTGAGAATATAAGGCAAAAACTCGCAATGCCAAATTAATGAGGTTATGCAAACAAGTAGCATTAATCACAAAGGTATTAAAGATATATTCTGACTATTGTCTCAGAAAGCTTGATCGAAACTGTGTATATATTGCTATAACCTGCCATATACTACATTCTTACGTAAAATACTCTTTGCTACAAAATATTCTGGATATTTCGATCGTGAGAGTAATACTATATCAATAACTAGTTGACCAGCATTTCATGACATTCGTGGATTTGAGATTCAACTGAAATCTGCTTCGCCGTAAGAAATGATAGGCACGTGGGAGGAACACAATGTCATTAGAAATTGTACAGAGAGATTGCCCACGTTTGTCACGGCAGTGAAGATGACGTGCTCGTTGCTACATGCGCACGTCAGTATACAGTGTTTCTGTGGCAATCACCTGGTAACCTCTGGTGACGACTAAGTTGTGATGCCTGAGAAAATGATCTTGCACATTTCTCACAAACGAAAGGTTTCTGTCCAGTGTGCGTCCTTATGTGATTATTCAACGTGGTTGAGCCCGCGAACGATCGTCCGCAGAAACCGCATTTAAAAGGCCTCTCGCTATTATGTGTTACCACGTGCGTGCGCAGTTCCGTCGGATGGGAAAAGGACTGGGAACAATGCCCACATTGATATGGCTTTTCTGGTAAACGTGGACACACGTGAATTTGCAGCAATGAACGCTGGGTAAAACTTTTGAAGCATTGACCACATCTCCAGACACCAGATTCCAAGCTACTCGTGTTTTCGCGCGGACTTGTGCGCCCGCTTGCCGCATCTTTTTTGTCAGCGGTATTCTTTTTAATCCCAGAAATTTTTGTAAGGTCTTCCTTACATTCATTTCTCGGTGATTTTTTGAGTAGGTTGTTACTTGGTGACGCCTTTCCAGGAAAACCTGTGTCGCAATGTAGGGGTTGCGTGGGGGGTACGTAGAACGATGGTGGATAGTTGGTGTCTTTGGTCGAGAGGTTCATATCATGGGGGTAAACTTGACCTATCGAGTGAATTTGTATTTTTGTCAACAAGCAAATCATGATGTTAAAACGAGTTTTTGAAGTTAGTTATTCGACTTCTTTACAAAACAACTAATAAGATCGAGCCAATATAAACACTATAAGCTTCGATATGCATAAAGAAAATACGGGATAGAAGTATAAATGTGCCCAGGTATCATAGTAGAAAATGTTTGCTTCGAATAAACAAAACTGAACTTTACTTCATATAAAAAATTTTGAGTTTGTCCACGACTATACCCCGTTTACCAGAAGGCATAGATCAAAATCACAGAACCGAGATCGACGCAATCAAGGACAACCTGTGGACATGTTGTGAGATTGAACGGACGTATTGTTTCTTTCCTATGTTCAAGTCTTACCTATTGAAACCGGGATCACATGGCGTAGACATATAGGTACCCCAAGAAACTTCTCGTATTGTTCATCGTACCAAACCAGTAGCTCCGTGCCGGGAGGTATTTCTTTGTAGGCACGATAGAAGATATTGTCGCCATATTGAAATAAGAAAAGATTTTGTTCGTGTTTATGGCGGGCACAACGGATGAATCGCATCCAGCTCGATGCATTTTCATCCCCCCCGTCCAAATACGAAGATATACGTCCGTCTTTGTACACCTGAAAGGTATTTGAACGCTGAAATGTCGCTGTCGAGTATTCACACATGCCATCTTCTAATGGAGAAGTTCTCGGCAAGTAAAGTAAAAACGTGGTCGGATGGTCAAAACAATGTCAACAGGGTAGAATTGACTTTGTATTTAGAAACAATATACGACAGTGAGTAAAATTTTTAGCGTTATCAATACTGAAATCACAAGAAAACGACTGGCATTTGCAATTGTTTATATAGAATATCACGCTATCACAGATCATCCAACGTGTTCGCGTCAAAATGATAAAATCCGTACATACCTCCCACATGTAAGACATGTCCATTCCTTCGTGGGTGTCCTCGGCCGACACTCGGATACCTTCGTACGGTCCTATCCAGGTGCCTATCGGAATGAACTGTCGCGCGCAGACTCCGTAAAAGTGGCCTGGAATTTGAGATTCGCAAAGTTGCACTTCCGGCGGAAATGATGAGACCGCATACGTCACGTGGGCATTCTCCTTTCCTTCAACTTCCTGCTTTTCATTGTTGACGAGTTTACACAACGACTGGAGGGGCCCGTGCATCGGGCAACGTTCGGAAGTCTTCTGTTGACAATCAACACAACCTAAAGGATGGAATTTATGCTCATTATTGTGGTCTTTTTCGTTTCCCTCGTGGGTAATCCCACAGCTGTCGGCAAATTTGTTAATTGGTTGGTTTTCACCCTGGGAAATCACCATCAGAACGGTATCCGACAAGAATATTCCTTTTGTGAGCTCTCGACCAGTGTTTCGCTTTAAATGTTTGTTCACAGTATGAAATTTTGTCGGTTCCAATTTATACAGCCGAAGCAAATCAACTAGAGACAATCACAGTACTGCTTTTATGTTAACAACGTACTACATTCAATACGTCTTAAGTTTATTGGATCCGACAAAATTTTACCATGTCAAAAAAGATCAAAACATAGAGAACTTGTTTCATTCTGGAAACTTTTTTGGGAAAGAAACTATACATGTATGTATGTTCAGCAATTCAGTAAAAAATCCATAAAATCCTTGTTTCGAAATGATTATACCAGGGGGAGTCAAGTATTTCCAGTGCCATCAGCCACCAGCCATGTTACTGTGAATTATGATAAAGTAACTCCTTCTCTTCGCGCAGGAACATCACTGGAAGACTGGAGAAAGGCTGATTGGGAGCTTTGAAAAGTGAACTCGTATGCGGTGGTTATTATCTTAATTGTGGCACAAAGCTGATCTTATCCTTTTTTATTTTATTGCTCAAGCGAGACATGATTATCATTCGAAGACAAGAAATGACGAAGTGAAAAGTTCTTAAAATTGTTTCCAGATAAATTTGGAGATTTCTATCAAAATCCGTTCAAACTTCAGAAAGAAACGTTGCGCTTTTTTACGCTCATGAGAGATCATTTAGACACAGCCTATAGCGAGTTATTTTAATGAAATAGAGTTGACGCGAGGACGACAACAGCCCTAATGCTGCACAACCACATTCAAAAAGGCCTGCAACGCTATAGGACCCGCGTTTATAACCCGCGTTTATGGGCGACGTCACCACTAATCAAATTCGCGTTCAATTGACGTCTGATGTGAACGATACATTTGCAAGCACTTTTAAAGCCCCGTTTACAGTACACTCGGATTATTGGTTCCGCACGGCAAATTTGATGCCTGTATAAAACAATTATTAGTGTTCAGGCTACCGATACAAAGGCCTACTACTAGACGCGTGTAAAAAGCTAGAAAGAGTCAAGTGCCGAGGACCTTTGGGCAGAATTTTGTATACCTCCGTTTGCGAAGTTTTCGTTTAAACAAGGTAGCTCCTTGTAACACTAGCGTAATACAGCGGAACTTGCCGTGTAGATAAGGTGGCTAGCCAACAGTGTTAATTAAAAGGAGTGTAATTACTTCCCTTAAATGTGAATAGTGACACAGAACTAACTAGCAAACGTAAAAGGAGAAAAACAATCCAGATAGTGAGAGGTTACTGAGACGTAATTCAATACGAAATGATAACGAAAAAATAAACAAAAATAACTCTTGCAAAACTCCAAGCCACTTATCGTCCCTAAAAGATAAAGATCGATTGTGCAATCCCGCATTGACACAGAACGGTTGCCCGATGAAGATTATCATTTCACTCCCGTTTAGTTGAGTTTCATCCGGCGTTCCGTATCTCGAATCTCATGCCTTCAATCATTGTGAAAAAAATGCGGTGTCGTCGTAAACATGAATTCGTGGGGAAAATTTGTAATTATAGTTTAAGAAGCTTGTCTTTTGTTTGAGAGGTTTTGGTAACCAGCGTTATCAGAAAAAACGTAAGACTCATCGAGTGAATAGCTAATCTCTGGATTGTATAAAGAGCACAGACGTTTTATATTAGAGGTCAGGCCGACAAATCATAGGTCACTCGGACGTACTTATTGACATTTTCACAGGCGTATTTTGACGAGGAAAATTGTCATTCGTGTGACGAATTCGTCGATTACGAAAGACTTCGTCGAACCTTGGATGGGGAATGGCCTTGTAAGGCAAACCTCCTAGCTTCTGAGACTCGTTTCAAAGAGGTTGTTCACATGAGCCTGCGGTTACCGAGATTTAACGAAGCGTAAAATGGTTTTGAAGTATTGAAATAAGTCTTTTTGAAAGAGAACAATCACATGCTATTGTGAGTATGATTACGCGACTACCAGAATCGTGTTGTTTACTCATTTCAATACCTCAAAGTCCATTTTACGCTCCGTTAGACGTTAGACCTCGGTAACCAGGCTAATATGAACAACCACTAACAATAGCAACATAGAACTGATTCAACACAACACAGATTAATGCATGTGCAGATTCTCGTGAGACGAACTAGTTTTGCTGCATAGGATTGCCATCACATAGTCGCAGGTGTTAAAATCATCAGAATCTTATCAAGACTGATGATACAATAAAATTCTCTAGACATTTTCAGATTCTCGCTACGATATCAAAAGTCAAAACGCCGACACGAGATGTATATACAAGTGCATTTTGAATTAGGGTGATCAAAAAATAGACGGCATGCAAGGGTGACGTACTTTTCTAGAAATTGTCGGTAATTGTCTCTCCTTCAGACTCGCAATTATGTAAAAAAAATAATTGACATTACACTTCATGTAATTTGTCTTATCGTAGACGTGTTGCATTATCGAGTTCTAGTGCACATGTCAGTCATGCGGTGTGTATTATCAAACAGCGCAGATTAAAATTCGCTGGCATCAAATCTGACATGGCCGCCAATAACAATGAACAATGAAAAGAAATTAAAGCAATAAATGTTGATAAGTGTGTCGTGTCTGGATAGCTGTTCCAAATTGTTCGAGCATGCGAGCGACACAGTTGGAGGTGTGTCTGTGCAGTCTTTTCGCCCATGGGGCAAAAGAATTTTTTTAAGACAAATAAGCAATCTATTCGAGAGACTAGAAATAACAATCTTTTGAGAAGGACAATTTTCGTTATCTATATGAAAAAAGTAGCGATGAAATAAGCGATTACGAAAAATAGAAAAAAATACATCGAAATCGAGTCAAAACGAAGCTGAGAGCGAAATGAATCATTTCCGTTAAATATATTGCTCGATTGTTTTACAATCTGATTCAATTACAATCATTCAGGCATCAGCGTTTTTGTAAAAGAATCGCGTAACGTAAACCAGCTGATGCATATTATAGCGATATTTCGACTTACATAATCCGTTATCTTCCTCCTTGTGGGCGCGCAAGTGGTTTGCTTTGCCAAAAAAATACTGTAAAATGTCGTCCATGGTAAACTTGTAGGCGCCAGCAGGTGACGTGGTTTTGCCGCCATTAGTGCACCAGTTATGATTTTGTTTCGACTCCAACTCGAAGGAAGTGCCAGATGAAGTCTCTTGGCCACCGATTATGCCCTGAAAATCGAGTCAAAATGTCGAGTCGAAATGTTGAGTCGAAATGCTGAAACGCGTTGTTCTGCTGAATTATGATAACGCCAAGCTACCCCTTGGGCGTAATTTGTCTCTGCCAAAAATTTAATGATAAACAGACGGTTTTTCGTCTCAAAATATGTTCGGCCTCAAAAGATAAAACAAATACAGAGAGCGAATTATGCTAGTGTGAACACTGCAAACTAATCTCGTTCGCTTTTCATTTGTTTTTGTTGTGCATATACCATAAAGCTGCCACACCGGATATATGTTGGGTATCTCTCTTCTCCGCAGAGCCAGAGGTTTCGAATGCAAATGCGCTAGATTTTTAAAGATGACCGCTAGCGCGTTTCTAATTTCAGCAGCAGCGGTCATCTTTAAAAATCTAGCGCATTTGCATTCGAAGTCTCTGCGGAGGAGAGAGTGTTGTGTATGGAAAAAGTTGTAGATATGGAAAAAATTGAAATATGAAATCGAAAATTGAAACGGAAAACTGGCCAGTAGCTATGTGTAGTTAGTATGTAATATATATTCGTTAAGTGTAGCTACAAGAGAGTCATAAAGGAACTTAATTAGAAGACTTGTTCGATAGTGCGATATTTTTGCGTGACGGAAGTTACTAAGTATACTGAAGTAGATATATTAGTTAATGTTAGGTCGGCGAAATGTTCGCTGGAGTAATGAATATATGATTCGGAAAAATATTTATAATGATGTTGTCTCATATTTTGTTTCGAAATGGAGAGAACTGTGTATATCAATACCAGCTGTTAGCAAGGAAAAACGTTTTCAAACAGCCGGAAGGCTAAACGGCCCCGTGTTAATGAAAGTGCAAACATACATGTGGCTCTGAATTATTATCGCACATCGTCTATCTAATTTTGAGAAATATCAAAAAAATCAATCTTATCTTTCTCAGACATAACTTTCCATCGTTTTTAGCGAATTTTTTCAAAATATAACATATGTTTACACAGGTTGCAGCTAGGATACGGCAAAGTTTAACGGTGAATAGGCAATAAAATATCGGTCGACTCGGTAAGCTAATGCAATGGTAATCTGGTATTCATGTTAAAGACGAATATAGCACAGGAAATTGGGAGTGACAATCTAGCGAAGCGGCTTTTTTGATCGCATAAAAATCTAAAAAAGCGAAATCGAAATTTAACGTGTCGAAAGGTATGGCATGGCGCTGAGCACTTTAGGGAAAGAAAAACACGGCTGTTTAAGTATCAATGTATCAATATTCAGTACTTGCGCAACAGAGTAACGTTATTGAATATCTTCGATCCTCAGGAAGGCAGATTCGTTTTGGGATGTTTTGTTTTGTAAAACAAGCAAACACGGAGAGATCTGATGGTCAACAATGCCGTCAGTCTAAATGTGGACACAATGCATTTACATTATCATTAGACTCAGACATATCCGCATCTTCGGATCATTTGCCCAAAGCAATAAGACTCGATTTGCCGGGATAATCAACAATCGCATAATATTTAGAGATATATTCCTGCCAAAGCGATGGGAACGGAAATGCGACTCCCTTGTCACAAATGTCGGCGTGTTTTTAAATTACAATACCCATATAACAGTGACCAGATTGAGACAGTCTTGTGAGATGTATAGATCACAAATCATCCGACCTCAAATTTTCGACCTGTAGTTTTTAAATGAGTGAAGCTTAGAAGACCAGCTTCATAGAAGAGCTACGATCCTTAAACTTTGCCATCGTCTAAAGCTTTCATATTTCGCATTTCTTTTAGTTTTTACAAAGAAATCGTGAAATTGACCGAGTAGAGTTGATTTGGTAGAGACAACTCTTTTAATGTCTCAATTATATTGTACACAGCACGAAGTACAAAATATATTTATATATGTTTATATAATTTGCAACGATTTCAAATAAATATAATATTATACGTTATGAAAATAAGCACATTTTAACAGCGAGGTTTAATTTAAAAACTATTTCCGCTAGGATTATGGGCTTATATGGCACATAAGCGAGGAAAGCCAAACAGATCGTATCGATTTTTAGTTTTTCACATGGCGCTTTTGAACACAAAATAAGTCGGAAGATATTCAACTAGGGCGATTCCAAAGCGAACTCGTTACTGTGTCACTTATTACCACATTATAGTCTGAGACCAAGCCTTACCTTTCAAGTGATCAGACGTGAATTATTATTTAATCCCTAATGTGCGCCTTATCTTTACCTCGTTCTTAAACATTGGGCTCTTAAGTTTACAAGAATTACTTCAAGTGACCGAGTTTCAAATTGAGGAAAGATTATGAAAGATTCGATTCGTTTACTGTTGGGATAGAAAGTATTGAATGATGTGTATTCAATTGCATGAACAATACAAAACTTGATAGGAAACAGTCAACATACCTTCACCGAAAAATCCGTGTCTCTTTTTTTACCCGTCTCGGACGAACTCGCGGTCCGCGTTAAAACAGCGGAGTGCCGCATTATATGTTAATGAGATTCGATACAACTTCGTGCGCAATTGTCGAAGCGTGCGTCGCGGCTGTGATATTGAGCTCACCTGTCTTGCGCGTGAAGGCCGCCAGCTTTTTGTTAATGTTGTTTTAAATTTATCAGCCGTTTTTCTGAGCTGTCATTTACTGTGAAATGACGTCATTTTAATAGCGACCGGGAGCCTTCCTGTCGTGTTATCAAGAACAGATGCTCTCAAATTCCTGTCTGACCGAAGATTCACATGGATGCGTCCTGATGAAAATCATGGCGTTTGCCGACATCATATACATTGATGTGCTATAAATGGAAGCGTTAATCGGCTATCTTTCGGAAATTACCGTCCGTGCTTGTAGTCTGCATTGCCGCCCGTGCGCATAAACAATAGTTATTTGTGTGTCACAATTTGTGTTTTTAATATTTGTAGCTGTATGAGCACTAGTTGGCAAATATCCTCAGAGTTGCAAAAAGAGTTCAACCTTCCTCCGGTAGGATTTCAAGTTTTGAAAACCTTCCTCAAAATGACGTTATATGTCACTGAGTCAAGTGGCAACCAGCATAAAGAAATATTTAGTTTTTTGCTACATGCATGTGATCAATTAGAGTGTTCAACTTTGAACCTTCCTCGCAAACCTCATTTAAAGCAAACCTTCCTCCGGGTGGTACCCGCGTACCGCAGCTTGTTTACAATTCTGAATATCCTTGTAACTTTACATATAGGACCAGGGGCCGGTTGTATGAAAGCCGGATAGCGCTATCCACCGGATAGTGATTTATTCAACCGTTCTAAAAATGCTCGAAGAGCGATAAAATTTCATTTTTGGAACCAGCAATTATTAAAGAGGATACTCGATTTAGGAATACTAAGATTTAATCAAAGTTAAGCAAACAACGGGCGATTTTAATAATGGAAATTTTACACAGAACGAGCATTCGACCATTAAAACAGCGTGGTTATCCATGTCAAAATATTTGACATCATAACCAAAGCATAGTTATATTGTTTAATGTTTGTATATGAGCGCCAACCATAATGGAAACTTTACAGAGAACGAGCATTTGACCATTAAAACAGCGTGGTTATCCATGTCAAAATATTTGACATCATAACCAAAGCATAGTTATATTGTTTAATGTTTGTATATGAGCACGAAACATGCCTGCAACTTTACACAGAACGAGCATTTGACCATTAAAACAGCGTGGTTATCCATGTCAAAATATTTGACATCATAACCAAAGCATGGTTATATTGTTTAATGTTTGTATATGAGCACAAAACATGCTGGAAACTTTACACAGAACGAGCATTTGACCATTAAAACAGCGTGGTTATCCATGTCTAAATATTTGACATCATAACCAGAGCATGGTTATATTGTTTAATGTTTGATGAGCACGATTTTTGCAACTTTACATAGGAGCAGAATTAGACCATTGAACCACGGTGGGACCGTTGTTATTTCTGACACTTAAAGACACTTTTTTGCCGGTGTAATACCTCTAAATCTCGAGGGAGTTCAATCTGTCGAGGGTCGAGGAAATAGAGTCGAGGATGTGCGCGGTTTTCCACTAGGCGGAATTTTTCGACCGAACGAAATTTTTCGTCCGATATTCTTTTCAATTGTGAGAATTCGACCGTAGCGGATTCCCTTCACGGGTCACAATTAAAAAGAAAATCGAATGAAAAATTCCGCCTAGTGGAAAACCAGAGTTGCAAAAAAGCTGCGGGTACGCGGGTGCCACCCGGAGGAAGGTTTGCTTTGAATAAGGTTTGTGAGGAAGGTTCAAAGTTTAACACTCTAATTGATCACATGCATGTACCAAAAAACCAAATATTTCTTTATGCTAGTTGCCACTTGACTCGGTGACGTAACGTCATTTTGAGGAAGGTTTTCAAAACTTGAAATCCTACCGGAGGAAGGTTGAACTCTTTTTGCAACTCTGTGGAAAACCGCCATAACGGTGAATTGGCGTATGTCGAACATTTCGAGGACAATTTGTTATTTGGGGAATTCATTTCAACGTCCCATTCACGATTCGTCCATTTCCTGGCGACGATATCAGAATTGTCAAAAGAAATGAAACAGTTAAACAGTTGAAATTAAATTGTTAAAATGTTTACATTTAAAGATGTTTCCACTTGCGTTTACACCTGCTTTGCTCACGTTTTGCTCACGCACGTTTTTTTTTTGGGTAGTGAGGGTGCCCCCACTTTTTGTGTTGTATTTTGAGGTTTAATGACATTTTTATTGTTAGAATTCTGTTAATCTTCTCCCAGAACGCAAGTGTTCAGGGCACGCCCCTGTAACCTGCTAGAAAGTTGCCCATATTTGGAACGCACTTTGCGGGGCCCCTCACTTCTGGCGGTTTTCCGATGCCCATGACGTTTTGTGTATACAATCTATAGATTCATGCTTTTAAACACGTTTTCTTGAAACAACTAATCAATAATACTACTTAATAAGAAATGAATAGTGATGTTATATTTCATCCTATACCTGTAAAATTATCAAGCAATTGAAGACAATGTTACAGTAGCTACTACTTCATCTATGGGAAAATTTAACGTCTCAATATATTGCCTACAATCACTGCCTAATCCTCTTGTAGACCTCGGCACCTCCGGAGACATCGCCTCCAAAATGTTAGCAACCTTTTATCGAATATTCCATAGATGATGGGATTTCCTGAATTTGAACCAGCGATGCTGATAACAAAACTGAAATATTCTATCCAATGGTATTGTATATGCTGGTTGGTGGCAATGTACCATATGTACCACACAGTTATGGGCAAAACACCAACACCGTAGCACAGAACGGTCCCGACGCAAATAAGAAAAGTTCGGCGATTTTGAAAATGCGTATGTCTGTTTCTTGCAAAGTTTGAACACGCACGTCTCATGTGTTTGTTTTGTTTGACAAGGGCTCGACCGATTTTATAATAGACCACGGCCATAAAGACTGTTGGGAAAAGGGCGAAACTGAATACAATGTAACCATAATATAATTTTACGTAATTCCTTATCACACCATTCGACACCATCAAACAAGCGGGTATGCCTGTTCCAAAAGTGGCCATCACACCAATCATGTAGCCCAAACAGCAAATGACTTTTACTTTCCGTCGACAGATGGCAGGTTTTAAAGGATGAATGGTAGCGCGATAACGTTGCACTGCAATGATTAACATCACGAAAATTCCTGCGACCACAAAAATATATTTTATTTCAATGGCCAAACAGTATACGACAGAGTGCTCGAAAAGATTGACGAATGAGGAGTTCAAGATCTCCAGACATCTCACAACTAAATATTCCAGATCACAGATGGCAAGGTGTAAGACAAGAAAGTAGTAGTTGTTCTTTAACAGTTTCCTTTGTCTCGATATTGAGATGATGACCAAAATGTTGCCGAGAATCCCAAATACGATAACAAAAATGTACGAATATTTAAAAGCCTGAGATGTTGTTGTCTCTATTATTTCTGTAAAGAACTGTACCATGATTATGGATGCTGCTATAAGAGAGCGCTTGCTTATATGTTGTTTTTCACATACGAATAAAAATACACCTGGCTCGTTTCCTTACCTGTCAGCTGAACTGACCGGAAATGAGAAAATTAGAGTACCAAAAATTCAGTTCCCAGTCCTAATAAATCGCCCGATCGAACACCTGCCTGGGATAGTACGGAACCTACAATTTGGTCCGAGACGTAGCCGCGTAGGAAGCATCCAGAGATCGAGGGGGGAGGGATCCAGAGATCGGGAGAGGCACCAGCTTCCAGAGGCACTTTTGGTTAATAAAAAGGGCAGCTGAAAATATGTATAGGAACAGTTTGATTGGCAACGTTGCAAGGACACCACTAGTGTGGTTTATATTTATGTTCTACAAAACGATTTGGGCACGTGTATCTGGGCACGCAGGAAAGAAAATGGGCATCGATTTTAAAATAGTATTTTGGTGGGGGGGGGGGGGGGGGGGGCACGTTAACATTTTTGGATTGTTTCAAATGAAGTTTTGTAGAAGAAAGAATTAAAGAAAAACTCTTTGTTCGAAATTTAGGAAGAATTTTCTTCGAACTGACAAATAAAACTGAAAATTGTCAAAAACTGAGGAAAGACTCAAATTAATGAAATAACTCTCTGACATAACAAAGAGACAGAAGGAAACGAAGAGACATGCCATATATGGACGCTTTTAATTAGCAGACAAGATTATATTAACGACCAGTATTTTAAACTTTTGTACATAAATATAGTCCGTGTGTATTGTATTACATTTTCTGCATGCGAAGTGAACTTAGTGCATATTAATATCATCCGATGTTTGACACAGGACGCGTATTAAAACCGATCGAGTTTTAATGTTGTAACCACAGTTTGTGCTTTTCATCAATCCCAAATTGTTTAAGACAAATTGTTTCATATTTCTTGTGGCACTAGCTCTTCCCTTGGGCGACGTTTCCAAAATTTCACCAATTTTTTATCCAGTATTCCATATAAGAGAGGATTCACTGAATTGGATCCAGCAACTCGGAGAACAGAACCAAAAGATTCTATCCAATCGTATTTCATTGGTAGATTCTGACCGGACGCAATCCACCAAATAATCCAAACAAAGTGTGGCAAAGTACCAAATCCATAGCAAAGAACGGTTCCAAGACAAACAAGAAAATTTCGTCGATTTCCAACGTATCTGACCCTCCCTGCGCTTGTTTCAAATAAAGTTTTTATGAGTTTGTTTTGTTTCGCGAGTGTTCGACCGATTTTATAATAAACTACAGCCAGTACAGCTGTTGGGACGATAAAGAAACATACGACAACGTAACCATAATAAGATTTAGTGTAAACAGCTTCTACTTCTCTTCCTTTGAGGAGGCATCGTGGCAAATATGCTCCATAACCTAAAATCAAGCCAAAAATGTATCCAAAAACAGAAACTGATTGCAATTTTCGTCGACTGAAGGCGGCACTTAGGGGATGTACTGTGGAGCGATAACGAAGTAGTGAAATTATCAACATCATGTATATTCCTGCGTCAAGGAAGGCGAACCTCATTCCTGACACAAAACAAAATATGACAGATTGGGCAA